GATTTCCATTGTCATGCATACACTGCTCCATTTCCTGCTCTTGATTCTCGTTCTCCAACATCTCTAGAATCATGTCCACAACTGTATTATCATCGGCACTGTAATACATGGAGCTGCCAGTTGCATTGCCTTTATTCTCTGGTGAGGCAATAGCTTCGTTGTTGTTGTCTATCGGATTTGGAGGCGCTGCACTCTGCTGATCCTCCGACACATAATCCACCTCAAATGTGGTGCTGGATATGTTCTGAGCCAAGCTGTCGTCACATTCAAACGACTCTGTGCAAAACGTTGTGCTGGAAATTGTTTTATGCAAATTACTATTCAATGTGGTTGTCTGATTTTCAATGGGCTTAGCGCGTTTGCTCTGGAGCGAGGTTATTACTGGATGACGCACAGCATTCGGGCTAAGGTAACGGCGCTTTTGGCCGGCGGTGCTACGCGGAGACGTGGGCAGCGACACCCACAGACGCGAGCTGCTACCACGTTTCTCAGCCTCAAAGGTGCAGACAGTCGATAGATCGCTACTCTTCACCTGAAAACTCTTCAGTCTGGAACCCATTGGGGCTTTTGATTTGGCGAAGCCACGCGGCTTACTGGCATTGCGTATATTCTCTTGTACAAAGTTGCGCCTCTTGCGAGGACTGCTACGACAGGACGTCGACGACGATGACTCACTGCTGTCCTGGCGCCTGTCCCAAGAACGGGACAGACGTGGCGTCGTACCAGGAATCACACGAGCATGCGCCGATGAGCTGGCTGGAGCGCTAATATCATGCTTGGAAAATGTGGACGGACGCGGTTCGCTGGTGAACTGGAAGAGATGGCGAGTTGGTGTTGTTGCCTGGGGTGGACTCTGGTAGATGTGCGTGCATGTATCAAAAGATTCCTCTGTTCCAGAGACCATGAGCTGTAGTTTACAGGGTGTTAGCTTGTTGCGAATGCTCTCATCGATTCTGCCGAATATGGACTCCCTTTCCTTAAGATTGTCCGCCTCGATGCTGTCGAGTATATCACGCTCCAATGGCGAAAACACATCACTCGAAGATTTTCGTTCTGGTGTGGCAAGCACATCGGAGCTTGCTGTTGGCTCTACCGAAGATGATATCTCAGCTGTACTGGCGCTTTCCACAGTATCATTTTCATTCTCATCAACGTCCTTTTCATCGCTAATGTGATCTTTTTCTTTAGCCTGCAATTCATTGACGAGGGGCACAGGTGTTACGGGCTTCTCAATATCACGCTTCTCCTCCTGATCAATATCCCCGTGAGATTCATCGCCAACTTCTTCCGATTCGTCATCCGTGCTCAAGTTCTGCGACTCACAGCGTTGAGGTTCTGAAACTGATGCAGCATCATCGGCATTGGGAATATTCTCCAAGCTGATAGCACGGAATAGAGAACCACTTCCTAGAGATTCATCCGAAAGAGGCTCTTCAGCGATAGTCACTTCTCGCAGCTTCTTAGTGGTGGCAACCAGTTTCTCAAGATTTTGCCCAGCCACACATAGACTTTGCTCGAATTCTTCCAATATTTTCGGTATTTCAGCAACAGC